GAAGAGACAGCGCCCCGCGGCTCCTTTCCTTCCCCCACCTCCCTCTTTCCTGCCTCCGCTCTCCGCATGTCTCTGTTTCGGCACGCCCCTCACACGTCTCGTGGCCCCATACGGAGCTCCACCGAAGGCCCCAGTGGCAGGTTCGCATGGCGGCGCCGCCCCAGTTTGGAGCACCCATCCGCACGGTTCGTGGTTCCATAGGGGGCTCCACCGAATGCCCCAATGGCAGGGTTCGCATGGCGGCGTCGCCCTGTTTTGGCGCACCCATCACACGTTTCGTTGCCCCATGCTCCGCGGAAGGCCCCCGTGGCAGGGCTCGCATGGCGGCGCCGCCCCGTTTTCGCGCACCCATCACACGATTCGTGGACCCATAGAGATCTCCACCCAAGGCGCCAGTGGCAAGGTTCGCATGGCGGCGCCGCTCCACTCTGGCGCACCCCTCGCATGGTCCGTGGCCCCATAGGGAGGTCCGCCGAAAGCGGTTCCACAACGCGGAACTCAGAACTGCATATGGTTGGGTCTTTCGCCAGGGCATTTTTCTCCACGGACGACCGGACGACTTGTGTGCATCTTACCGCGTTGGCGTCCCCTGAGGCGTCGTGAACACCGGGCCCAGGAGTGTTACGGTGCATAGTATTGGCCTTCAGAGCCAACCACTTATGTATGTACCACACCACGCTGGAGTGGGGCAGGGAGGCTAAACATGGTACGGTGCCTGGGCGCCGATTTCGCATGTTCGGGCGATCTCGCGGACCCCATCGCTTTCGTTTCTGTTCCCACCCCGCTTTCGTTGCTGTTCCTGGCTCGTCTTCGCTCGGGGGGGGCCGCCGTGAGTCCGCGACGACCCCGGAGGAGCACCACTGGCGCTGGTCTGGGCGATGTCCTCTGGACGAGACGGAGGCAACACACACGAAGATGCCAAACGGGGACTCGCGAAGGGGGAGGGGATATTTTTCGCCGCATTCGGCCTCCGGGGGCCCTCGCCGGGCCCAAGGACGGTCAGAAAACGACTCGGGACGAGAAATGGTCCCCGGGATGTGTTCGAGACCTCCAGTCCGCGGACGATTTGTGTGCACCGCACTGCGTTGGCGTCTCCCGAGGCGTCGTCGATCCATAACTTGGGAATGGTTTGGCACACTGATTTCCATGGAGCTTCGTCCAACAGAACAGCATTCTTGCCGCGGCGTTGGCCGCCCCCTGCTTCCGCATGTGCTTCGTGTATCCCCAGGAGCGGCTTATGAATTCCGTGCTTCGCAGTGTGTGTAAGAAGTCGGGTGTAGGGAGACACCCTGGGGATCCAGGGTCTTCCAGGCGCTCGACTCCGCGAGCAGAGGGGGCTTCAGCGCATTGGCAAGACAGTCGGGGTGAGGGGTGGGACGCCAGATGTGGCGCGTGCGCGCCTACGTGTGATCGTTTCCTGATTCATTGTCTTGCCGATCGGCGCGGGCCCTCGCACCCCTCCCCCCCTCCCCCCCCCAGGAGTAGCTCCTGGCTGTTTTTGGCGCCTGTTTCGAGCAGGTGGAGCCTCCCCCCAAAGGACGCACCGTTGCAAACAGTCGCACTAAGCAGAGGTCCGGAGCCAGACCCCCTCCCCTCCCCCCCCCCCCTCCGCCGAATGTCGAACCGCTGAGCATGAAGGCGTCTACCACTGCAACGCCCCGATTCCAGAGCCCGATCCTCGAAGGCGAGGCCCTCTCGTCCGTCGCTCCCCTGCGCCGAGGGGGGCTTCCCAGCCGCGGCGCGGCGCGCAATGGCCCGCGCTCGAGCGCCGGGGACTCGCACGGCCGGGCCAGCGGGCGCCGCCGATAGCAGCCCACTGGGAGCGTGCGCAGGCAGCCGGAGGGCGAGCGCGGGGTCCAGCCTGGGCCGCCGAGGCGCTCCCCAGCATGTGCGCACCGGAAAACATCAGGACGGGGGGGGTTTTGGCCGTTTTCGGCTTCGGGTGGCCCTCGTCGGGCCTCGAGACCGTCAAGCAACGATTCAGGTGGAAAATTGGTCCCGGGGAAAGGGTCGGGATTTCCAGGGGCCCCGTATTGAAAACACATGATGTCGCATGTCTGGCTCTCCATCGCTTTCGAGGATCGAAGCCTTTCCTCGGCCGTTTGGGTCAGACCAGCCTGCCAGCGCCGTCCGTCGCCGTCGTCGTCGCCGTCGTCGCCGTCGTCACAACACTCACCGAGCGCGTTCCACTACTCGCAAAGTGCCTGCTCGCTGCTCGCAAACGTCCGACAAAAACACACGTCTGCTTCGACGTAGTGTATCGTCGATCCCCCGCGGCGGATCCAGGCCATCTGCGAGCAGTTACTCTGCGAGCAGTGGAACGCGCTCGTCGAAGCACGGCCCCGCGGGTGGGTCCAGGAGCAGGGCTGGACCTATAAAAGGTGTTTGGGCGATTTCCCGGGCCGTTTTCGTTTCGACCCCGCTTTGCGGTACAGGCGGACGGAAGACAAAGCGAGGGAAGGCGGGAACAAAACGACAACGAACAACGCCGTTTGGGCTCAGCCCTGTCCAGGCTCAACACCCCGCGCCAGTTCCCGGGCCCAGGCCGCCCTCGGAGCGGGTGGGGTCGGCGGGTCGCGCCGCAGCGCCGACGCAGCTGCGGCGCGGCTGGATGCGGCGGGCCGCAGAAGAAATCTGGGCCTGAGTCCGGCCCGTCCCTTTACAGGAGGAGTGTTCAAGAATAGCCACAACAAAATAATATGGGGACGATTCTTAGGCTTACGCCACACCGCCGACCCCTTGTTTATGCCAATCTGGGTTATGGGTTATGGGTTATGGGTTAGAAAACGGCTCTGGGTTATGGGTTATGGGTTATGGGTTAGAGACGTCTTGTATGTGTAGCGGGATCTCGCGGCACGCCTCTCGGGGGCCTATGGCAGGCAGTTTGGAACCACTTGGGGGCCCAGGTGGAGGAAAAGGAGGAGGAGGAGGAGAAGGGGGACACGGAGAAACGGCTCTGGGTTATGGGTTATGGGTGAGAGGCTTCTTGTATGTGTATCGGGATCTCGCGGATCGCTTCTCGGGGGCCTCTGGAAGCGAGTTTTGGAGCCACTTGGGGGCCGTTTCGGAGCCTCTGGGGTGCTTCTTGGGGGTTCCTTGGGGCGTCTGGGCGGCCTCGTGAGGGCCTCTGGGGGCCTCTTGGGGCACTCTTGGGGCCCCCTGGGGCTCCTGGGGGCAGAAAGCTAGAGTTTCAACATGTTTGGTCGCCCTCTTGGGCCCCTCGTGGTGCCGTCTTGGAGCCCTCTTGGGCCGTCTTGGGGACCTCTTGGGCCGTGTTGGGGCCGTCTTGGGCCGTCTGGAGGCCGTCTTGGGGGCCTCTTGGGCCATCTTGGGGCTGTCTTTGGGGCCTCTTTGGCCGTCTTGGAGCGTCGGGAAGCCGAAAAGGCGGAAAAGCAAAAAACATCGGAAAACATTATGGAAACTCAACAATTTTAGGCTCTTGGGGCCCTCTTGGGAGGCTTGTTTGGGACCTCGGGGGCCGTCTTGGAGACCTCTTGGCCCGTCTTGGGGCCATCTTGGGCGTCTTGGAGCGGTCGTTTGGCGTCTCGGGGCCTTCGTGGGCCGTCTTGGAGGCCTCTTGGGGGCTTCTTGGCCCGTCTTGAGGCCCTCTTGGGCCCGGAAAAGCCCCGTGAACCGCTCGTCCCGGCCGTGCTGCGCTCGTCCCGGCCGTGCTGCGCTCGTCCCGGACCCCCCCCCCCTCCAAATCAACCGGACCGGGCTCCCGGGGGAGGGGTTTGGGGAGGGGGAAGCATCTCACACGCCGATGATCCCCAAGGGGTCGGCGGATTTTTCTACCAGTTTTGGTGATGTATTCGGGTATTTGCTGCCTCTGTTTTCATTTTCGCCCAAGATCCACCTGTTGGAGGACATACCCGACCTAAACATAGGCCTCCTAGGGGTCCGAGTAGATGGTGTCGGAGGATCGCGCCGCATCGCCGATGCATCGCCGATCCGGCGCGATGCGGAGCCCAAGTTTCTCCACGCCGACGTCACCGGTGCATCGCCGACGTTGCAGGTGCACCGCCGATGCATCGACGATGCATCGGCGATGCGGCGCGATCCTCCGACCCCATCTGCTCGGACCCCATCCAGACGGCCTCTAAGACAGGCCCTCGCCTCCGAGGGTCGAATTGCCATCTTCTCCTCGGCGGAAGGCCGGCGGGAGCCGGGAGAAGTAGAAGATGCGCCCCCAAAGGAGCGTCACCGATCCATTGGCGGTGCAGCGCGATCCTCGGACCCCATCTGTACTCAGAACCCCTTCGAGTGGTCTCCACCCGAGAACCTGCTTCGCGGAGTCTTGGAAGCCGGTCTCGAAGAAGAAAAATCGCCATAGACATAATTTTCTGGCGCGCCGCGCGGACCTCTTGGGTCCGCGCTGGGCTCCCCCGGCGGCGCGTCCGGCGCCGCCCCTGGCGGGGTCCAGCGCAGATCCAAGAAGTCCTCGCGGAGCGCCACAAGTTTCTGTCAATGGCGTTTTTTCCCCTTCTGCTGCCCCTTCCTGCCTGGGCGGGCCCGCGAGGCCAGGACGGCCGGGAAGGCACACGGCAGCGAGCAGAGACAACAGCGGGGCACAGAGATCCGCGGCTGTGGTTTTTGTTGCGCACGCGATCCCTGGGAGTCCCGACCCGTTCTCCGGTGCTGGCTTGTCGTCCCGAGGGGTCCTTTCTTGAGGGTCCCAGGGGCGGGCTAGTGCTCCTGGAGGTCAGAAACTCAGGAGGGGAAAAAACACAGACACTAATAATCGCGACTCCCAGGAAAATTATTGGAAAATATGCGACGTAGGGGGGAAGACGAAAACCTAGAAAATATAAGAAAATATAATTAGGGAATCATTTTATTTGTGTGTATTTATTTGTGTGTCCCAGGGCACCTTCAGAAACGGCGAAGCACCTCCATTTCGACGTCGTCAAGACGTTACATGTCTGGAAGTCGTCCGTCTTTCTGTTCTCAGTGTCAAGACGCCAGATGCCTGGGAGGCAGCGTCGTTTGGGCCGGTGCAGGACCAGTGCGAGCTGCTGGTCGAGCGGCGCCTGGAGGAGCTCCGGCCAAAGCCAGAGCCGGACATGCCGCCGAGGCGGCCAGACGACGACGACGACGACGACGACGACGACGACGACGACGACGACGACGACGACGACTACAATGACAATCGACGACGACAACGTCAATTGACAACGGCGACGCCGACATTGACGACGACGACGACGACGACGACGGCGACGACGACGACGGCGACTGCGACTGCGACGACGGCGACGGCGACGACTGCGACGACGACGGCGACGGCGATGGCGACGACGACGACGACGACGACGACGACGACGATCGAGCTCGAGAGACGGCTGCGACGGCGACGACCCCGCGCGCGCGCTCTTTGAGCCGAGGCCCGAGGGCCCCGGCGAGCCCTCGGAGGCGGCGGCGGCGGCCGCGGAGGAGCGGTGGTCGCAGCGCTGCGCCGAGCTCGGGGAAGGCCTGTCGCGGCTCTCTCCTCGGAGAGGGCCGAGGCGGGGAGGGGTGGGGGTTGGGGTACGAGGGGGGGAGGGGGGGGGGGGTGTAGGGGGTGTGGGGCAGGGGGTGGAGGGAGGGGGGGGAGGGGGGTGGGGGGGAGAGGGGGGCGGGCGAGAGGGGGCAGGGGGGATGCTGGGGAGGGGGATTTTTTGTTATTTTTAGTTTTTTTTACCTTTTTTTCCTTTGATTTGTTTTATTTTGTCTGTTTATTTTTGTTATTTTTTTTTGTTTTTGTTCAGGTTTCTATTTTCTGTTTTTTTTTTTTTTTTTTTTTTTTTTTTTTACACTTGGTTTTTTTATTTTCTTTATTCTTTTTTTTTATTTTTCAGGGGGGTGGCGCATCGACCCCCTGTCGCCTATTGATCGTCGGTACGGGCCCGATTGCTCACCCCGCCCAGGAACAAGCGGTTCTGCTATCGGGGGCCTATCGCCGATGTATCGGCGACGTATCACCGATTCCAGGTCGATGTTGCCCCTCAGAGGAGCGGTGGTCGCGGCACTGCGCCGAGCTTGGGGAGGGCATGTCGCGGCTCTCCTCGGAGTTGGCCGAGGTTGCGGGGGGGATGCTGGCAAGATGTGTATCTTATAGGGCCCCAGGGGCACCTAATGTGGGGTCACATCGAGTCTTACATTTGGGGCACTGCGGGCCCGTATATCTTATGAGCACCCAGCCCTTACCCGTAAGGGCTTCGCCCACATGCCGCCAGCCCCCCTCTCTTAGAATGGGACTTGCCAGAGCTGTGTTGGTATGTCGTAGACGCTAACGTGAAGCAATGTTGGGACGTTACGCGAGGGCCAATATTGATTTACGATGGTTTATCGTCTCGGTGGCGCGAATATCAGGATGTTTTACGATGGTTCATTGCTTCGGGGACGCGAATATTGCGCAGTGTATAACGGTTTGTGGCCTCGGGTACGCCAATACTGTGTACGTTACGACGGTTTATGGCCTCGGGGGAGCAAATACTTGGTAATCTACAAAGGTTTATGGCCTCGGGGACGCAAGCAGTGTGTATTTGCGAGGGATTACGGCGTCGGGGACGCAGGTTTGGTAAAATGTATGAGGGCTTCTTGCCCTGGAGACGCGACTATGTATTAATTTTGTATGGTTTATGGCTTCGGGGGCGCGAATATTGTATCATTTATGAAGATGTATAGCTTCGGGGGCGCGAACATGGTGTAATCTACGACGATTTGTGGCCTCGGGGACGCAAATATCGTGTCATCTACTAGGGATTATGGCCTCGGGGACGCGAATACTTATAACTTACAAAGAGATTTATGGCCTCGGGGACGCGAGCACTGTATAATTTATAAGGGTTGCTGGCCTCGGGGACGCGAATATCATGTATTTTTACGTGACCCACGCCCCCCCATGAATTCTGAGAACCTTCCTAGGGCGTGGTACAAAAACTTGTTTGGGGCTCCCACCCCTCGCGGGGACAGCAATTAACAGTAACGAAGCAGAAAGCAGGACTGTAACAGTGGAAACTGGAAACTCCGACTGGAACAGGGAGCTTCAATCCTCATCCTCGCAGCCTGTTGGCACCGCAAGGTTGCCGGCGGATCTTTTGGCCATCCGGCCCTTACTGTTTGGCAACCCTTCTTTTGACGTATGACCACCTGGCCCGGTCCTTTTCACTTTGGGCCACCCAGCCTTCTTGTTTGACCTCCCGGCCCTCATTTTTCGACCACCCATTCTTGTTCGAGCACCCGGCCCTTTAGGAGTATCTGGTCCTCAACCGCTTCTGTTTCCGAGCTCTCCGAGCCGGCATGGCCCCGTATGTCCTGAATGTTTTCCCGTTGGCCCTTGAACGGGCCCTGGTCGGCCCTCAGCTGGCCTTCGGCCGGCCCGCAGCCAGCCCGTAGCCGGCCCTTGGCCAGCCTCTCGCCGCCCCCTAGCCGCTGGCCTTTGGCCGGCCCTTCGCCAGCGAGCCTGGCCATTGGCCGGCCCTTCGCCAGCGAGCCGGCTCCTATAGCCAGCCCTTCGCTGGCCCTTCAGCCAGCCCGTAGCCGGCCTCTAGAGCTGGCCCTCAGAGCCAGGACAGCCCTTCGAGCAGCCGGCCCATAGCCGGTCCTTTGCCAGCCCCGAGCCAGCCCCTATAGCTGGCCCTTCGCCGGCCCTTAGCCAGCCCATAATCGGCCCGTAGTCTGTTCCTTGGGATCCCTTGGGGTTCATTTGGAAGTCCAGTGCATGGGGGTTCATTTTACGGGGGGGTCCTTTTCAAGGTCCCGTATGGGTCATTTTCAGGCTCCGTGAGGGTAATTTTGCAAGTCCCGTGGGGATAGTTTGAAGGTCCAGTGGGGTGGTTTTGAGGTTCCGTGGGGGTCATGTTAAGGTCCCGTGGGGATATTCGTAAGGTAACGTGGAGACTGTTTAAGATCCCGTAGATGTAATTTTAAGGTCCCGTGGGTGTAATTTTAGGGTCCCGTGGGGGTCCTTTAGGGCCCCGCTGGACTCCTATCTTGGAGTTTCGGGTTCCCTTCCTCAGAAGCCAGAGGCTCAGCGGATATGGATTCAAAAAGTGGCCCCTGGAGGCTAGATGTTAATCCACATCTCCGAAAGAGCGTGTTCTACCGCTGCTGGCGGAAAACCGGGACGGGGGTCACTGGGGGTTCCCAACCCGTCCCCCCCCCCCCTGAAAACCAGGGGGGGTCACTACCACTTCGAACCCCTCCCCCCCCCAAGTCACATCATCAAACCCCCTCGAAAACCGGGGGAGGGGTCACTACCGGTTTGAACCTCCCCCCTCGCCGCCGGCAAACGATTCCCGCTCCTCGGGACAGTTGGACAATGGTAAGGATAGTGGGACAGTGGTGGGAACGGTGGTGGCGGGGACAGGACAGTGGTGCGGGGACAGTGGGACAGTGCCACAGTGCAGTGGTGCGGACAGTGGTGGGGACGGTGGTGGTGGCGACAGTGGTGAGGGGACAGCGGGACAGTGGTGGGGACAGTAGTGGTGGGGTCAGTGGTGAAGGCGGTGGTGAGGACAGTGGTGGGACAGTAGTACAGTGGGGAGAGTGGTGGGGACCGTGGAACAGTGGGACAGCTCAGTGGGACAGTGGGGACGGTGGGACAGCTCAGTGGGACTGGGGACGGTGGGACAGCACAGTGGGACAGCGGCTGGGACAGTGGGACAGTGGTGGGTACAGTGGGACAGTGGGACAGTTTCAGAGGAGCGTGAAGTATTGATATTGATAATTTTCAAGATTTCCGAGTTTTCCTGTCCTTTCTGCGCGGGCTCCAGGGACGAATGGTCGAGCGCATTCCGTCGCGCAGGTTCTTTGCGTGATGGGCGCGGTGCATTTTTCGCGCATCGGAGCGCCCTCGGAGATTCCAAGCTGCATGCTGTGTTGCGCTGGGGGGTCCTTGACTCGCAGTTGCCGTGGCGCTGTTTTTGAGACAGCCCCTTCGAGTGCTGTTCGCGGGCGCAACGCGCGGCGCGCGCTGCGCCCAATCGCGCGCGGCGCGGCGCGTGAATCAGCCGGCCGCGCCCGTCGGACCGCCCGGATTTCTTCTGGATTGTAGAATGTTTCAGAAAGCGCTTCCGTTTTTTGGCGCAAGCGGTTGCGGATTTTTTATACATAAAAAACAAAAAAGCCCGGACATTTTCAACAAAACGCAGTTTTGAGGGGTGGAATGCGCCCGCCGCGCAGGACATCTGAAAAATGCTGAAATCCGGAATTTTTCAAAATGGATTCCAGAATTTTTCAAAATCGATCCCGGAATTCTTCAAAATCGATTCCGGTATTTTTCAAAACGTAGGCCGGACATTTTCACAAACGTTCCCCGGATTTTTCAAATTCACCCCCAGAGAATGTTCCAGAGTCGCGCGTGATTTGCCGTACCAGGTCTTTAGGAATCCGCACATGCGGGCGGTGCGCGGCGGCGGGCGATGGGTCGGTGCGCCACCGTCCCCCCCCGCGCTCGGCAACGAAAAGGGGGATCAGCAAGTACCAAAGCCCCTTACGGACGACCATTCGATCGCGAATATTTTCTCTATGTGCCGCCCCCCCCCCCCCCCCCCTCCGTCGCCACACCCACACCCCCCCCCCCTATGGTCTCTCCTAGATAGAGAGTACAAACACTACGCCACGTAGCATCTCTCATCACAGCTTAAGGATCCGCTCTCTCGCCTCACATTCGGAAGAGATGGAACATTATTGCTCCCCCTCCCCCCCCTCACGCTGTGTAAAAGATTCCTAGCTCGCCAATTACGTTTGAATGATGTGCCTGTGTGTGCCCCCCAACTAGTTATCCCCGAAGCTGCACCGGACGCGATATCGCAATCAGGGAGACAATCCTGGCGGCTGGGGCTAGTGGCGGACAGTGAGACTGGTCCAGGCCCCGTTATGGCCGGCACTGGTGGGGACAGCGGGGACACTGGTGGGAACAGTGGGGACAAAGGGGCAGTGGTGGGGACGGTGGTGGTGGGGACAGTGGTGTGGGGACACTGGGAATGTGGTCGGGACAGTGGGACAGTGGTGGGGACAGTAGTGGTGGGGACAGTGGTGAGGGCGGTGGCGAGGACTGCGGTGGGACAGTGGGACAGAGGTACA